TTTAAAGGATATGGATGTAAGGATATATGATGGGGNTATATTTTAAACATGTGCGAAATTCAAGTAATTTTAGCCGCAACATCCTCAAACAGGAAATCTAAAATTCTTAAATATTTTAATACTTAAAGTGTAAAATTCAATATCCAGACAGCTTTTATAATATTCATATACATATTGTATATATATTATTCATTTAATTTTTATTCTGAAATACAAATATATGCATATATATATTTTAGTTAATAAACTACAAATTTTATTAAAAAAAATTACTCTGAATATAATGTTTCACGTTTCACGAAGATCCTCAGTAGTCAGAATTCTTAATGCTTCAAAGAGTTTATTTCTCTTATATTGGGTATATTTCTCTTATATTGGGTTTATTTCTCTTATATTGGGTATATTATATATATTTTTTTAAATTTTACAAACATCACTTTGCAATAATTTTCCTTTTAAAAATAAAGTACTAAACTGCAATATACCAATTATCATGATCACATTTTATTAAATCGATGAAAATAGATATGATATTTATATACGTGTGTGACAGTACAATCTTGAATTTATAAAGCTAGGTTTAGGTTAACGACCTTTTGATAAAAGATTCACTATTTTAATTGCTAGTGTCATATGGTTTACAGTAAAAACATGAACAGGGAGGAATAAAAACAAAATTTAATAAGTTAAAGTAAAAATTATCCTGAATTTTTTCTAGATTTCCGTAGAAAAAATAAAAATCGAAAAAAAGAAAATTTTAAAACACTTTTACCCCTGTAGTTTGACCTGATAGCCCTATATTAATGTCATCTGTTAAACCTGAAATTATTGAGCAAATGAGACTTTTTCCCAGGATTTTCTAGGAGCTGTTTCCAATTCCGAAAAGTCTTAAGAACTGTTTCCAGGTGTTATTAGGAGATTTGGGAGCTGTTTCCAGGATATTTCTAGGATCTGATCCCAGGAGTTTCTAGGATCTATTCACAGGAGATTCTAGGATCTTTTCTCAGGAGATTCTAGGATGTTTTCTCAGGAGTTCCTATGATCTATTCAAAGGAGCTTCTAGGATCTATTTTCAGGAGCTTCTAGGATATTTTCAAAGGAGTTTCTAGAATCTGTGATCAGGAGTTCCTAGGATTTATTCTCAGGAGCTTCTTGGATCTATTTTCAGTATCTTCTAGGATCTTTTCTCAGGAGCTTCTGAATTTATTCTCAGGAGCTTCTAGGATTTGGTCTCAGGAGTTCCTAGGATCTATTCAAAGGAGCTTCTAGGCTCTATTTTCAGGAGCTTCTAAGATATTTTCTCAGGAGTTTCTAGGAGCTGTTTCCAATGCCAGTACTGTTTCCAGGAGTTATTAGGAGCTGTTTCCAAGAAATTTGGTAGCTGTTCCCAGGATATTTCTATGATCTGATCCAAGGAGTTTCTAGGATCTATTCTTAGGAGCTTACAGGATCTATTCTTAGGAGCTTACAGGATCTGTTCTCAGGAGCTTCTAGGATCTGTTCTCAGGAGTTCCTAGGATCCATTTACAGGAGCTTCTAGGATCTATTTTCAGGAGCTTCTAGGATATTTTGTCAGGAGTTTCTAGAATATATGCTCAGGAGTTCCTAGGATTTATTCTCAGGAGCTTCTAGGATCTATTTTCAGGAGCTTCTAGGCTCTGTTCTCAGGAGCTTCTAAATTTATTCTCAGGAGCTTCTAGGATCTATTCTCAAGAGCTTCTAGTTTCTATTCCCAGGAGCTTCTAGGATCTACTCTCAGAAGCTTCTAGGATCTATTCTCAAGAGCTTCTAGGATCTATTCTCAAGAGCTTCTAGTTTCTATTCTCAGGAGTTTCTAGGATCTACTCTCAGGAGCTTCAGAATTTATTCTCAGGAGCTTCTAGAATCTGTACTCAAGAGCTTTTAGGATCTGTTCTCAGGTGTTTCTAGCTTCTGCAATTATTCTAAGGAGTTTTTAAGATCTATTCCCAAGGTGTCTGGAACCTGTTCCTTGGAGTTTCTATGATCTGTTCCAAGTATAAAGGTGCTGCTCCTAGAATTTTCCAGGATCTGTTCCAAAGTGTATAGGTGCTGTTCCTAGGAATTTCATGAATCAGTTCCAAAGGTAAATTTAAAAATCTAGAAAACTGCTACTTACTAGGAATGCGTTGGACAATTAGTATTAACACACTGTATTCATATATCATGTCCATTTTCAAATGGATTAAAAATTGCGAAAGTTTTAATCATTTGAATCAATTTTGATCTATTTAACACTTTTTGCCAAGCATTTGGTACTTTTTTGCTCCAGGACATTAGAACTGGAATAAATGAGATAATACCAATCATTTCTCTGCACGAGAATATTCAATTCATATTTAATATTTTTGTTGAAATCAAGGTGCAACATATGTAAAAAACCTATTTCAAAATTCATTTTTGGATCCGTATAATTCACAATCAGTTTGAATCCCGCATGTAAACAAAATTTTATTAAAAATTATTTGTTTAAGTTTTTTTTTTAAATCGGTAATAAAAGATACAATGCAAAACGAAAAAACCGTTTATTTGGTAGATTTTACATAAAATGAAAAAAACTTAAATGTTTGAAAACTAATTCTTATTTTTACTTATCCCCTAATTGTTAGTACACATTAAACAGCATACCCCCCCCCCCTCAAATTTTCCAGACTTTACCAACTTTGAAATCTTAATTTTTAAATTTAACCATGTTATTTGTTGGATGTAAAATGTGGATCGATGCCTCTAAGANGCTTTCATCCTCCCCCCCTCCCTTCAATGATAGTTGTGGACCACCCCCTCTACAAACACAGCTTTGTGTCGGTAGTCCAGTACACCAATATAATTAGGCAACCTTTGCTCTTATAAATCCAGGAAGAAGTAAAAAAAATTAAGTAAAAAAATCTTATGTTTGATGAGTAAAATATCTGTTAAATTTTTGTGTATTTTTATTTTTTTTTGCAATTTTTTCCTGTTTCTGTAAATTCCCAGATGTGTGGAAAGCAGTTAATCTAATAAATCTTGACTTTAGATAATTAGATCAGATAGATAGATAGATAGATAGATAGATAGATAGATAGATAGATAGATAGATAGATAGATAGATAGATAGATAGATAGATAGATATATAGATAGATAAAGGGATTGATAGTTTGAGATATATGAAAGAGACAAAACGTATACTTATAAAAAACTAAATTGTACATGCATGATATCTTTTGCCAGAAAGAGCTTGTGAATTAAACTATTAATTTAAAGAAAAAAAATCAGTTAAAAATTAATTTATAGAACGTATTAATTGATTTTACGTTTTATTTGAATCTTTTCTTTCATAAAGGTGATTTTAATCGTTTGTAATGTTCTCTGTTGCCTATAGGAGTTTACTGGCTCGACATATTAGTTTCCTAACCAATTTTTATTTTTCACTTGAAACTATACTGTTCTTCTTATTTCTTAGAATATCAGTAATATTCTATTTTGTTCTGATGCTTTTTATTCTGTTTTGGTGTTCTCTGTACGGTTTTGCTCTATTCTATTCTATGTTTGTTTGTTTAATTCTGTGTTTTTTTCTAACTTGGCCTGTTTTATTCTCCTCTATTCTGTCCAATCCTGTTCTATTCTGTCCAATCTTGTGTTGTCCTAGTCTCTTCTGTTCTATTCTGCTCTTCTTTGTATTTAGTCTATTCTGTTTTGTTTTTGCCTATCCTGTTCCTATACTATTCTATCCTGTTCCTATACTATTCTATCCTGTTGTTCCTATACTATTCTATCCTGTTCCTATACTATTCTATCCTGTTCCTATACTATTCTATCCTGTTCCTATACTATTCTATCCTGTTCCTATACTATTCTATCCTGTTCCTATACTATTCTATCCTGTTCCTAAACTATTCTATCACGTTCTGTTTTGTGTTTTTATATTCTATTCTCTCCCTGCTCTATTCTGTTCTATCCAGAACTGTGCTGAGTTCTGTCCTATACTGTTCTGTGTTTTATCCTGAACTGTGCTGAGTTCTATCCTATACTGTTCTCTGTTTTATCCTGAACTGTGCTGAGTTCTATCCTATACTGTTCTCTGTTCTATCCTGAACTCTGCTGAGTTCTATCCTATACTGTTCTGTGTTTTATCCTGAACTCTGCTGAGTTCTATCCTATACTATTCTGTGTTTTATCTTGAACTATTCTGGGTTCTATCCTATACTGTTCTGGGTTCTATCCTGAACCGTTCTGGGTTCTATCCTATACTGTTCTGTTTTTTTCCTGAACTGTTCTGGGTTCTATCTAATACTGTTTTGTTCTCTATCCTATACTGTTCTGGGTTCTATCTTATATTGTTCTGTTCTCTATCCTATACTGTTCTGGATTCTATCTTATACTGTTTTGTTCTCTATCCTATACTGTTCTGGGTTCTATCCTGAACTGTTTTGTTCTGTATCCTATAGTGTTCTGGGTTCTATCCTGAACTTTTCTGGGTTCTATCTTATACTGTTTTGTTCTCTATCCTATACTGTTCTGAATTCTATCCTTTTCTGTTTTATTTTAGCTTAGTAATTATCTGATCCCTCTCTGTGTATGCTGTTTTACCATCAATTTAAAATATATTTAGAAGTATCCTTATTTAAACTCTACATGGTGGCATGTGCCTTTTGAAATATTAAACCCTATTTAATCTTTAACCCTCTTTCTGAACGTCCAGAGCAAATCTATGTATACCCCCCCCTTCCCAGGGTAATAACACCTATTCTAATCCACAGCTGTTTAGTTTAACAATTGTAATGTTGGTGCCGGAATAAACGTTATTGAAACCATTACATTTTACAGCTAACCTCATGCTCAGCTACTTAAACCTATTCAAATATAAAACAATATTTTTCAATTCAATGATTTAAATATATGACAGAATATTTATTAAATAAAGAGATAATCCAAATAACAGGGTTTTGACTAAATGAAAATTACATAAACAGAATGAAAGAAAAGATATAGGACTAGAAGATGATTACACTGATTGCCAGTCTACAATTGCATCAAGAACATCCTCCTCGCTTTCATCCTGAGTATCTGCAACCGTCGAGTCGGGAGGAGAAGTTAACTCGAGCCCAGAGCTAGAGCAGAACCCGGAGAAAGGTAAAGAACTAGACCCGGAGACAGGTTGAGATTGAAACCCTAATCTTGAAAAATACCCGGAACTAAACCCTACTTTAGAATTGACTTGAGCGTTGTATCTCCAGTTTTGGTTCCATGAATTCATGTTGCTGTAAACTGGAGAATTCTGCTGAACGGAATGAATAACTCCCTGAGAACAAAAGGAGGAAGGTTGGAAATTTGATGTTGGAGTAATGGTACAGTATAGAGAGGGATATTGGAGAGCTGAAGCTGGAGATGGAATGGTAGGAACTGGAGAAGGTATTTGTGTTCCAAAGGGTTTACTGCTTCCAGGAGATGGTATAGTGGAGACTGGAGAATGCATATATAAGGATTCATATCCGCTCTCTGATCCAGTAGGAGCCCTGTGCTCATGAACCTCATCTACTTCATCTCCTCCAACCTCATCTCGGGGGTATACACAAGATTGGTTAACTGGATTAAGAATATTGTGAAGATATTTAATATATTCTGATGCATGGTTTAATATGTTCACTTTACTCATCTTCTTTACATTAGCAGCGGAAGGGAGATGCAGTTTTAATATTTCAAAACCTCGGTTCACACTTTCCACCCTGTTCCGTTCTCTGGCGTTTCGTTTTATTGTTTTCAGGTCTTCTTGCGGTTTCATTTTATATCCATGAACGGGATGAACAACTAAAAGTTTACCACGAGGAGCCATTATACACCACGCACCCTAGACTTTGCTTGTAAACCCGTCAGATAACGAACAATAAAACACTAAAAAACTTAAAGCAAGAAATTCGCGAAAAAAGTGTGTAAAGGCGGGAGCCGATCTTAATTCAGTAGCTCGTTATTCATGCTATATGATTTAATCAAAGGTCCATCTTGTCGGCCTGCGGGATCCATCAAATAAATATATTCAAAGAAAGTAATTTATTTACAACTTTTGAAGTCTTGCAAGATCTGGCAACATGTGTTCAGGTTGAGGTACAGAATACAACTGCTCTCTGATCCCAGGTTGACCGAAACAGTTAGAGCGCACGCCGGTTGATACCACACAGGTTCACAATAAAAATCACAAAAAAGATAACCTTAACAAAACTAAATTTATCATGTATAACAACAGAGAAATTCTTTTTTTTTAAATAGTAAAACTAGCAAAATAGTTCATAATTTCAATTAATTATTGGCGAATTGAATCAAATCAGACCTTTTTTTAATAAAATGTTAAAGAAATATTCTATTTTGGGAGTTTGTAAATTATGTCATTGAATTGGATTAGTAGGGGGTGGTCTGGAGATACAGTTATATTATATTCAGGCAATAAATAGGAGATATGTAAGGATAGTTTTTGTTTACCATTATAAACTGTATCCTGGATATAATCAAAACCAATTTATATAGGTTATAAATTAGATATACATACTCGTAGCTACAGGGTTACCCACAAAGTATGAGACTTCAGAGGCGATTTTACGGAATTTGTGTAGTCCGTTTTCTTGTATGCAGGGTTCCTTGTAAGTCAAAATTGGTTTATTTCTGTGCTTTATAATTTAGTAAACCATCAAATTACTCAATTGAATGCAGAAACCAAAAATCAAGCTTCAAGTCAACATATTTTTAGAGTTTTGGGTCGTCTTTACAGTCTCATCATTTGTGGGTAATCCAGTACTTACAGATAGAATAGATATGTTAAAAAATAGAAGAATTGAGAGTTGATAGATTAGTCAAGAGAAATAATAAATATTTAAGTATTTAAACAAAATGATTTAAATATGTGAGATATTTCATATATATAGAAAATGCAATTATAAGGTAATAGAAGAGTTAAAACATCAAGAAGGGTTAGAGAGTAGAGACCCATTTTCCAGGGACAACCCTAGCTTGGACGTTTAGATAGCTGGAAAGCCTCAATTTCCAGAGACAAACCTTTGGAAGACTGGAGAGCAAGAAACTTTCCGCAGACAACTCTCTAAAAGGCTGAAGAGCCAACAACTTTACGGAGTCAAACTTGTAGAAGGCAAGAGAACCAGCAACTTTCAGGAGACACCCCTCTAGGAGGCATACTTTCTGGAGACAACAATTTCAGAGGTTAGAGAGCCAAATCAATATTCTTGAGTTTTAAATAGTCCAAGGAAGGGTAGATTTGTATAGGCAAGGATGGAAGAGGAATCCCTAGACATTCAATTATTAGTATATTTGACCCGTGAATTCGCTTTACAATATATCAACCAGAAAATTCACATTATAGATCACTTTTCAGATTTCGGAGTATAGATCAAGGTACGATCTAAATGTATTTGGAATTGGATTCAGGGTTTTTCTAAGTAAAGATTATTCAAATATTCACATTTATAGAAAAGATTATTTTATTGGACCTGGTGATCTTTTGATCCATGATGGGCAAAAAGCGTGTTTATATTTTGGTAATTTTTGAAGTAGAGATCGCATATTATATATCTGATGTTACTTGATGTAAAATCAATCTTAGAATTGCCAATATTTTGTACTAAAATCATCTATCCGATCCTGCAATCATCTATCCGATCCTGCAATCATCTATCCGATCCTGCAATCATCTATCCGATCCTGCAATCATCTATTCGATCCTGCAATCATCTATCCGATCTTGCAATCATCTATCCGATCCTGCAATCATGCAGAGGAATACCCTTTTACGATCTCTAGTATTGTAAGATCTCTTTAAGATCTTATGTTAGATTGTTTTATTCAAAATATATAAAGTATTAACACGCTTTGGGGTTCCAGTAAATCTCAGGAATTTAACTAAAATTCTTTAATTTAAGGAGTGGCATGTCCGATTCACACTGATACCCTTTAATCCTTGATCTGATCAACAATGTGGAGTTATCGTCGTAGTTACTAGCTTGAAACTGCTTAATTCTGACAATTTTACCCGTTGTTTCTGTAGCAGAAATTCGTAAGTCCCTTCTATGGAGAAATCGTCATTTAAAATAATCAATTTTCAAAGATAAAAACATGAAAGTCACTTTTATCTTTGACCATCACAAAGCTTTTCAGGGTACCGTTGTTAATCCTACATGTCACAATCTTTATAAACGTAGATTCCCTTTAAAAGCCGAGTTGAGTCGATATGGCGAAGCACTACTTCAACCAAATGTTTTAGCCCCTGTTTATGGTTAAGATCCTTTTTTTCGACCTGGTAATTTTGGTTGGTTTAGCTTTTAATTCTTTTTTAAAATTATTCTTTATTTCTTAAAACACATTGAATTAGACTTTTACAAAATGTAAAGGAATTTTGGAAAACAAATATATTGTTTAAAGCTGATTTTTTAAAGTTTGTTTTTGTTCTTTATTTTACCCTTACCGGGAATCATTAGGGTTGATATTGGACGATAACTGGATGACAGGGCGAATTCTTGTATAACTAACTTATATGCAGTTCAAATACCTCTTCTTGGCATTTATTGTATCATAGAATTTAGAAGGGGGGGGGGGGGGGCGTTGTTTTTAGCATTGATGATAAAATTCAAGATCAGAAATTAAATATCTAATAAAAAACTAAAGAATGTTTATTTGTATTTGTACTTGTCGGAGTAGTAACATTTGAATGGGATTTTCCTTCAGAACACACAATCCTTTATTTCAGGATTCTTTGAGATTAAAAAAATCAATTTCAACAATCTTATTTTCTAGACACTCTAGATATTCCTGGCCGGATACTTCTTTTCTAAACAATCGTTCCTAGATACTTCGTTTCTAGATACTCATTTCATAGATACTTCTTTTCTAAACACTCTATCCTAGATATTTCTTCTCTAGATACTTTTTTTCTATATACTTCTTATCTAGATACAAAATACTCACTCCTTTTTTGGATAATTCTTTTTTGACACTTCTTTTCTAGATACTTTCTTTCTATATACTTCTTTTCTAGATACTTACTCTCTAGATATTTCTTTTCTAAACACTCTTTCCTAGATACTTCTTTTCTAGATACTTTTTTTCTATAAACTTCTTATCTAGATACAACATACTCCTTTTTAGATAATTCTTTTTTTGATACTGCTTTTCTAGATACTTCTTTTCTAGATACTTCTTTTCTAGATACTTACTCTCTAGATACTTCTTTTCTAGATACTTCTTTTCTAGATACTTCTTTTCTAGATACTTACTCTCTAGATACTTCTTTTCTAGATACTTCTTTAAAGATTTTTTAAAGACATTTCTTTTTAAGTTCCTCCATTTTTGGATAATTTCTTTTCCGGAAACTTCTTTTCTAGATAATTGTTTCTAAATACTTTATTTAGATAATTATTTATTAAATATTTCTTTTGTTGTTGACATTCTCATTTAAGCAATACTTTGATAAACTGTAGATTCTAGTATTCTGTTTATCTTGACATAACAATTGAGATAATAAGATTTCAATTTGATTTGCGACGGTTTAAAGATTGTTTATGTTGGAGGTAAAAACCAACCTCGGCCTCAATTCAGTAATTAAATTCAAAATACTTTAATTGACGTTGGACTCTTGCTGGAGAATTAAGTGGTTTTGTTTATTGGCAGATAAGAGAGAAAGGGGGGG